ATATGATACATGTCTTTCTCTGATTGACTTATTTCGCTTAGCATAATACCCTCTAGTTCCATCCACGTCGTTGCAAATGGCAAGATTTCATTTTTTTGATGGCTGCATAATATTCTATTGTATATATATACCACATCTTCTTTATCCATTCATTTGTTGATGGACATCTTGACTCTTTCCATAGTTTGGCTATTATGGACATTGCTGCTATAAACATTGAGGTGCACGTACCCCTTTGGGTCGCTACATTTGTATCTTTGGGGTAAATACCCAGTAGTGCAATTGCTGGGTCGTAGGGTAACTCTATTTTCAACTTTTTGAGGAACCTTCATACTGTTTTCCAGAGAGGCTGCATCAGCTTGCATTCCTACCAACAGTGTAGGAGGATTCCCGACAAGGGAACTTTTTTTGACGTGATGGGAATGTTCTATATTTCGATTGGTGGTTACACACTGTATAATTTTGTCAAAACACGCACAACTGTGCATCTCCAAAAGGTGAATTTACTGTATGTAAATTATACATCAATAAACGTCGCTTTTAAAAAATTGAAGAAAAAATATCCTACAATATAATGTGTTACACCTGTAGTCCTTTGGGACAGGATCTAATGGACTGAGCACTCAACCAATAAATAACTTAGTCCAAATTTTTGATTCCTGTGCCATGTTGTTCAAATATTTTTTTCTGCTAATATACCATGCTTATCTGCTTGCAGCTTTAACACTTCTTTAATTGGAAGCGTATTGAGCACTTCCCTTCTAACAAGTTAAACAATTGCTCTTTCTTAAGGAACAAGGGAAGACACCAAAAGAATGGTGAAGTAGGGCTGGGCTATCGAATAACCCAGAAGCACAGAGACCTGTGGGAGGTGGGGGGGAATTCCTGCTTTGTTGGCGGCCGAGAGAAGCAGACAAGCCTATAGAAGGTCATTATGTCAGTAGATGTCATCTTGGTTTGGAGGGAATTTCCAACTCTGGGTTGTTTAATATTAGACTTATGTAGTTAAGGATGGCCTGGCATTAGCTTAATTAAAACACGAGTCGGATATATCTAAAGGATAAGGTGCAGGCTGGCAGGGACCGTCAGCACTAAGCGGAGGTCAGCTCCCGCCGGTGCTCCCCTCCCCGCCGGGCAGGCGAACTCTCTTCCCATTGGCCACTGCCCGGCTGTCTCGGGCGCCCATTGGCCCGCTACGACTCCCGCTTCCTATAAGAGGCGGGCAGCGCTGGCCCGCAGACTGTCCCAGTTTACCCGCTGCAGCTGCGCAGGTGAGTGGGGTGGCTCCTTCCCGCCGGGATCAGAGACCACCGTCGAGGATTTGGGGGAGCTGGGCCAACGCGGGGCGGAGGCAGGGTCACTCTCTCAGGAAGTAACTACCCGTGGAGATCTGGATCTGGGGAGTCAGAGTAGTACCCCTGTGGTGACTCTTCTTTCCTCCTACCCTCTTTGGGAAGACACGGTTTTTGAGGGCCTGGTGTGTGCCAGGAACAGGCTCTTTACACATCATCTGATTTCACCTTCACGACAGACCCTGTGAGGTGCGTATTTCTTACATTTTTACTTTTCTTGGAAAGTTCAGAGTTGAAAGTACAGAGTCAAGTCTGTATGACTCCTCTGTGTTAGCAAAAAACAAATGTGTTCTTCTTCCTTTCCTTCCTCTTGACCAAATGGCAACATCTCTTTTTTCCTTCTCCCATTAATGGAACCAGCCCTTAGGCATCTCCAAAGAAAAGGGCATTTCAGATGCAAAGCCTCTCAGCGTCACACCTACCTTCATCACCAACACCCTAAGACATCACCAACACCCTAAGACGGTACAAGGTTACAACTGACAAACAGTGCTAGTAGTTCAAGTCCAGCGGGTAAGCTTAACCTTGCCTCTGACCATTTGGCTTTCAGTGGCTTAAAATTAATTCCCCATTGATGTTCTACTCTAGTTGGCTTAGGGGAAAAACTGGAGTTCTAATTCTAATCCATCCAGTAAAAGTTTGTGCCCGTCAATTAATTCTCAAAGAAGGATGGTATTCATTTATTTGTTTTAAAAATAGATGTGAACAGAGCCTAAAGTGACTAGAAGTGTTTCAGTAAAGCCATAATCTGTGGTGTATGAATTTCAGCACTGGAGTTCACTTGTATATATGTTGTTATCATACTAGCTTATCTTCAGGTAGGGATGTGTCTTATATTTCCATTCTCCTTGCCAGTGCCTTTATTTCCTAGGAAAATGTTTTTCATGGGCACTGTTTTTTCTTTTATTTCATCTCCACTTTCATTCTCATTCCCTTCCCCGAGTCAGAAAAGAAAAACAAGATTCTCTGGAAGATTCTCTCCCTCCACACCCGTCCTTTCCACAGCTTTTAGTTCTGTCTTCAAACAGCATCTGTGATTTCAAAATATTTTAATTTGATAGTGCTTTGTGCTTCTTAGATCAGATAAATTTAAATTATACTTGTTACTGATTAAACTGAAGGGAGAAAAGAATTAGTCAATGTAAACACCTTGACTGCTACTCTTTCAAGGGGCTGTTGATCTTCTGACCTCCTTGGTGTGTCTTCCTTATTTCCCATGGTACATCCTGAACACCGGTGCATCTTTAGTCTGGCCAGGAAATGCAGCAGGAAAATGACTCCCTGCCTTTTATAGGAAAGGGGAAAATACCAGCTGGCATTGGCCCATTAGAGTGTTTTTTTTTAAAAAAATAAAATATATACTTTTTTTGTTGGGTTTAAACAGGTGTGACACATTGGATACTGTATAGCTTCTTATCTTTCCAGGCTGTGCTATGGTTTTTGCCCCTGAAGAAGTAGAGGGGGTAGATATGCTGAAGGGAGAAAGGAAACAAAGTGACAAGAGAAAATGTTGAGGTTCTGAAAAGGGTTTGGAGGGTAGTTGAATAAAGGGAAAAATAGCTGATGCCTCATAAGCTCAACCAGACAAAGTTATGTTCTTAGAGCAAAACCCTATGTTCTTTAAACTTATCTTGGGGGGTCGGGCAGTGGGTGGAGGGTGGGAATAGGGGAGTGGATGAGAATTGTTTTCTTCTAGTTTCTTACCAAAAGTTCCTTTTGAGAAACTTTATTCTTATATTAACTTAAACAAGAAAGAAAGAATGTTTCCAAATCTCGATATAAAATGCCTTGTGCATAATAAATATTCAGTTAATGTATCCTTCACTCTTCTCTCCCCCAACCCACTAAGGAGATGTTGGTGGCAAAACTAGATCCATTCCAGAACCAAGGAAAGAAGAGAGAATTATGAAACCCAGAAGGATGGAGTGAGACCAGCCACGACTGTTACTACCTTCTTACAATGGCTCCTAGGGGAGCTTAAGGGCCAATTTTGAAATGTGAAAGGAAATCTTTATATAGTTTTATACAAGAGTTGCGTTCTAAACTCTGAGATATCGTTGAAGGATGAACTGTCAGGAGATCTGAAATTTTGTCAGTTTTCCCATTGACTGGCAAAACTCACCTTTCTTTACTGTTCTCTGATCCTTGCTCCCAGTTGTTAAAATTTGCTTTCATTATGAACATGGTGGTGGGCTAGGAAGTAGCTTATATTTGCAGAATCCTTTTCCTTCAGCATGTCATGGTGACAATATCAAGGAAAATGGGGATTTAGTAAATATAGGTTGACCGGGGTCTTCATGCATTTACAAATGAATTGCTAAATTATTCACTTGAGGTTTGGAACTTAATATATTTTAGGGGTTTCATAATAAATAAACTAATGAAACTGAAAATCACCTTAAGACAAAAGAATACTTATATTTCATGTAAAACAGCTTTTACCATCTTGTAAAATGCTTAATTCCCAGGGCAAGAAAAATTCTTAGCCAGAGGAGTTTAGAATATCAATTTTATTATATTTAACATTTTATCTTTTTTTGAAGACTGGGAAAATTGGAATACACTTACCATTATTAGAGCTAGTATTAATTGAATACTTCGTGTAGGTCAGCAACTGTTCTAATAGTTTTATACATTATATATATATTTAATTCTCCTTATAACCATGAGATTGGTGTCAATTATCCTCCCTCCAATTTTGCAAATAAGGAAACTTAGACACAGAAATTAGAACTTGTCTAGATGGATTTGTAGATGAATTTGTTACTAGCAATTTGCTGTATGATTTTATATCTCTTATTGTTTGCATCTACATACCATAGGACAAAATTACCCATACTCTGTGTGGAAAAAAAAAAAAAGCCTATGGCCTTTGAGTGATAGTTAGATAAGAAATGTCTCCAAAGGTTTTTTACATCTCTAAATGTATTTTGAGAATGCATCCCTGAATTTTTAGCCCCAGAGCTACAAGTTCAGAATTTCCTATATATACTTTAAGTTTACCAAAGGGGCAGTTTCTTTGAAGCTGAAAGTCTCTTTTAGGATCTCTTGTTTCTCATTTATAAATCCTTTCTGATGAGACTTATGGATGGGCCAGAAGCCATCTCCATTTATCTTTAGGATATTTGTCAAGGGTGGGAAAGTGGGGGAGTGGGGGGATGGTATGCTCCTCAGATACCATAGCTGGGATCTCAGGGTCTCATTCTCTTCTGCTTATTTGTACTTTTTAGGAAATCTGTCTCTCCTTCTCTCCCTCCCTCATACATAAGTCTGTGAATCCATTGGAGGCAAATTGTCTTCTTTGTTTTTTAATCTTTACAGCCTTAACACTGACTATGATACTTTATACACATGAATGTGCTTGGGTTGAAATTTCATTTAATTTACCATTAGTAAACAGTAGAGTCACAGAAAAATCCAGATTATTATTAAGTTTAACCAGTCTTTTCTTTTAAAGCATTTGGCATAGAGATTGTTTTAGTTATAGAGAATAAGTTGACACAATTAAAAATATTTAAGCAGTATTTATTTTAAATTCAATGAATCAAAAAGTAAACTTTGAATTATATATCACAAGTCTTTTCTTGGTGCCCTAAATAGCTTAGTTTCTTCTGTGGGGAAAACATCAGAATACCAAGTCACATTATGTGTTTTAAAATGTGTGAGAGAGGGGCGTCTGGGTGGCTCACTGGTTAAGCGTCAGACTCTTGATTTTAGCTCAGGTCGTGATCTCAGGTTTGTGGCATCGAGCCCCGCATTGGGCTCTATGCTGGGTGTGGAGCCTGCTTAAGATTTTCTCTCTCTCCCTCTCTTAAAAAGCAAAAAACAAAAAACAAAAAACAAAATGTGTGAGAGTGTTTTGGATGTTATGAGTTCCAGTGAATTGTTTGGTAACTTCGCTATATTAGAAAGGTTAAGTAACATGCTCAAGGTTATATATTGATAAACACCAGATACGTCTGACTTCACATTCCAATTTTTTCCATACACTGTGTAGTAACATAAATAGGTGCTTGAGAAGATGTCAAGGTAGATATCTAGTTCATCTTCTGAGAAGACAGCTTTCAACTAGATGCCAGGAATTTTGTTCTACTTTCTGTGTTTCTGAGCATAACCAAATACTCACTGAAACAGAGCTACAACTGTGACCATTGCTATGAATGGGAGGTATATGGTGCGGCTTTCTCAAATGCCGAGGGGGATTGATTTAGGGAGGTCGGGGAAGACTTCCATGAGGCAATGAAGTTTGAACTGTAGGAGACTGGACACAGTTTATCTGGCTTCAAGCCCAGAGCAGCATACTATACCTGTTCTGGGTGGTATCGCTTCAGGCTTGGATCAATGAGTGCAAGCAGGTGAAAGACAATGGAATCGGTTATATCAATTTAAGTTGTTAAAGGTTAATTCCACTAGAACTCCAACATGAAACTGGGCAGTTAGGATGAATTAATAACCAAAAGAAAACTAATAAGAATAAATCCGCAATATGTTGTTTCCATGTATTAATCCAGATCTTATTTCTCAAGTGTATATTTCTCAGTTGAAAGTTATACCCCATTTTCATCCCCCATAATATCCTTACCTCCCCAACACACACACACAGAGTTGAATTTATAATCACATAACTCTTGTAGGCTAATATTGAAAAGGCTAACTGGCCTTTCAGGGTCCACGGCCTGGGGGATTCCAAGTCAGAGAAGAAAGAATATGCTTGTATGGAACCAGAATTATCTTGGCTAGCCATTTTCCTTGTGGTCCCCATGTGTCCAGAGTTGCCCAAGCTCTTGAATTTACAAAAGAAATAGAAGGCCTTGTCCCTGTTCTGAAGGGGCTTGCTGCCTTATTGAAAGACAAGACGTGCATGAATCAAACATTCAAGACCCAGTATAATAAAGTGCTGAAATTGTGCAGGGAGAGGGGGTAGGCTTTCATAGAGGAAGAGTGCCCAGTTCAGGTCACAGTAGGAAGACTGCAAGAAGCCAGTGGGCATGAATCACCCTGAAGGGACTGAATTAGAAAAAAAGAAAAAGGAAACTAACATGCACTGTATGCCTATTATATTCTAGGAACTATGTTAGGCAATGTTTTATCTTCTGTTGGTCTCATTACAGTTTTGTGAAGCATATCTACAAATCCATGTTTCACAGGTGAGGAAACTAGAACTTGGATAATGTTATCAAACATTGTCTTACTGGTTTCAAATATAATCTGTATTGCACAACTTCTTTTTTAGACCTTTCTATTTTCATACTTTGTTTTTAGAGAACTACACCAATTGACCATGATTGAAGACAATAAGGAAAATAAAGACCATTCCTTAGAAAGAGGAAGAGCAACTCTCATTTTTTCCTTAAAGAATGAAGTTGGTGGACTTATAAAAGCACTGAAAATCTTCCAGGTAAGCACTCTCCATATTTTTGCATAATACTCTTCTCAAAGGAGTCTCTAAAATTATATTTAAAATATAAATTATTATAAATTCTTCAGAGATGGATGGGAGAAATTTCTTAAGCACCTAAGTTTCTAAAATATTGCTTAATTCTAACAAATGGGCAAGGGATACAAACCATTTACAGAAGAGAAGATACAAATAGCTAATAAAGAAACAGGGGAGGAAAGATTCACTTCACAGATTTCAGAGAAGCAGATCTTAATTTTGTTGTAATTAAATAGAATATTAAAAATTTAATATTATTTAATGACATTAGTAATATATTTAATGATATTTTTAATATAGCAAAATAGCAAAGATTCTACAATTATACTGTTCCCTATGGTCAAAGCTTCAATGCATTTGGGACTTAAATACACCTTTGGTGTGAGGGTAAATTGGCACAATATGTAGGGAAACAATATGTATTAGAGCCTTAAAATGTTCACACAATTTGACCCAGTAATTCCACTTCCATAAATCCATCTTTTAATTTTTTTTTTTTTTTGAGAGAGAGCACACATGCGCGAGCTGGGGGGGTGCAGTGGGGGGAGAGGGAGAAGGAGAATCTTAAGCAGGCTCCATGCTCAGTGCTCAGTGTGGAGCCCTATGCAGGGCTTGAGCTCATGACCCTGAGATCATGACCTGAGACAAAATCAAGAGCTGGAGTCTTACCTCACTGAGCCACCAGGCGCCCCCCATAAATCCATCCTGAGGGATTAGGGGTCTGTCAGGCAGAACACGAATATTTACTGAGTACTTACTGTGTGCCAAGTGCCCTGTAGAATCTAAGGATGTGGACCTGAACAACGTAGACACAGTGCCTGCGCTCGCACTGTGTGTAATCAGGGGGAAAAACAGATAGTAAACAAATAACGATAGTAAATAATTACATGTGTGCAAAGTGACCTGAAAGAAATACCAGATAGTATTATGATAACATTGAACTGGGGGACCTAACCTAGTTTATGGGCTTAGGGATACAAAGACTTATTTATAAGAACTAAAAATTATGAACAAGCTACTTTTCCAAGGGTAGGGGACAGGTTAAAGTATGCTAATAGAACATCATTGGGATTAAATTCTTAGACTCTGGAGGTGGACCCCCTGAGTTGAAATCCTTGCTCTGTTATTTATTGGCTGGGTGATCATGGAAAAATTAATTAGTCTCTTTGTGCTTTAGTCCTTTCATCTATAAAATGAGAACCCTGCCTACCTCATAGGGTCATTGTGAGAACTAACAGAATTAATATGTAAAGAGCTGATGTTAAGTTTTAAAAATCAAGTTTATATCTATACATGCTATTTTATAGTCATGTGAAAATATTTCAAAGAATTAAAAATTTTAAATACAGACCAGTTGTCTAGAAGAGTTGCAATGAAAAGCATGTTTTCCTACCCAATACACCATATCCTCAGTCCCACTCCCTAGAGGCAACCTCTCAGCTATTTCTGTTCTTGAGTCCCTTTGATGATGAATTTATAATATCTAAATATTGTTCTGATACCTCTCTTTGAGTTATCAACTTTACATGATATTTGCTCTCTCGTTAATGATACTGATACCATCTCCATCCCTTCTCTCTCTACTTTCCCCCAAGTTTGATAATTATATGATTATTGATTCTTTTGATTTTATTGGTTCTTTATTGATTACCTTTGAGTTTTTAAATAATGTACCTATATTTCTTCTTCCATCAGCTTTCTTCTTTATTTTATTTTTAATCAAAGAATGCATGTGCATGGTTTAAAAAGTCAACCCACACTATAAGGCTTATGAAGAAAATAAGTGGTCTTCATCAACTCCCCTCATTATTAAATGTTTTTATTTGTTTGTTTGTTTATGGGGGGAGGGGCAGAGGGAGAGAGAAAATCTCAAGCATACTCCCCGCCCACTGCGGAGCCCGATGTGGGGCTGGATCTCACGACCCTGAGATCTTGACCTGAGCCCAAATCGAGTTGGATGCTTAACCGACAGAGTCACCGAGGCTCCCCTTCATATCTCCTCATTTTTAAGTTTAATTTATTTTGCTAATCCTACAGCAAAGGGTTGAGTTAATCATACACTTTAAATCATGTGTAGACTATCATCATCAATTTATACAGCCTCCTCCTGTTTTATTTCATTGTTCCATTCAGTCTCCATTTCTCTCTTCTGATAGCTGTTCTGATATATTTGATCTGTACATGGAATTATTTTTATGTGCACTTTAGAATATGTAGTTTTTATGTGTGTGTGTTAATTTATGTAATTGTTATTGTATAATACACTTTTTCTTTCACTCAGCACTGTTTTTAAGATCTATCCATGTTGATGTGTAACCGTCTCATTTTATTTATCCTCAGCCTGCAGGAGGCAACTATTTTCAACTCTTTTAACTACATTTTCTAGAATTTACTTCCATTTTTTTTAAGATTTTATTTTTAAGTAATCTCTACACCCAAGATGGGGCTCGAACTTACAACCCAGAGATCAAGAGTCCCATGCTTTACCGACTGAGTCAGCCAGGCGCCCCTACTTCCATGTTTATAAACAGTACACTTATTGTGTAGTTCTTGATTTTTTTCACTTGTAGATACCACCTACTGATTTCCTACAATGAAAGTAAAGATGGCTTTTTTGACACAGTCCCCTTTCCAGTGTCCCCCTTGACTTTCCTTCCCCCCATCTTCCCAATGAAGTTATGTCCCAGTTTTTGGCTATGCCAGTGTTCAGTGTTTTCATTCTTAAGATTATATAAATCTTGCTCAAAGAAGAGCCATATTATCCATTATTTTGACTTCCTTTTTGGTAAACAGGATTACAACTTAGTGTTTAAAAGCATGGGCTATGGAGCAGGACAGTTTGAGTTTGAATTCCAGCTTTGACGCTTATTAGCTGTGTGCCTTTGGGCAAACTGCTTAACTTCTCTGTGGCTCTTTTTCTGTAATTGAAATACATGCTAGGGAATGTCTCACTTATTACTTCTACTTTATGTAAATTTCCCTGGGTCTTCCTGACTAAAATTTTCTTCCAGATGGACTTTTAAATTATTTAGTTACATTTCCTCAACAAATTCCATCAAGATTTTGATTTTAATAATGTTCAATTTATTGAGCAATTTAGGAAGAATTGACATTTTGCATCTTTGTCTCTAAAAACATAGTTTAACTTTATATTTATTCAAGTCATAATTCAGAAAATATTTATGAATGCACTCTTATTGTAAAAATTAATAAGAAATAGATTAAACTCTCCTTTGTTAAAATTTTTTTAAATTTTAATTTCAGTATAGTTAACATACAGTGTATTATTAGTTTCAGGTGTACAATATAGTGATTCAACACTTCCATACATTAGCCAGTGCTCATCACAAGTGCCCTCCTTAATCCCCATCACCTATTTCACCCATCTCCCCACCCACCTCCCCTCTGGTGGCCATCAGTTTGTTCTCTGTAGTTAAGAGTCGTTTCTTGGTTTGTTTCTCTCTCTCTTTTTTCTTCTGCTCATTTATTTTGTTTCTTAAATTCCACATATGAGTGAGATTATATAGTATTTGTCTTCCTCTGACTGGCTTATTTCACTTAGCATTATACTCTGTAGCTCCATCCATGTCATTGCAAATGGCAAGATTTCATTCTTTTTTATGGATGAATAATATTCCATTGTGTATATATACCACATCTTCTTTATCCATTCATCTATGGATGGATACTTGGGCTGCTTCCATAATTTAGCTATTGTAAATAATGCTGCTATAAATATAAGGGTGCATGTATCCCTCTGAATTAGTGTTTTTGTATTTTTTGTGTAAATACCCAGTAGTGTGATTACTAGATTGTAGGGTAGTTCTATTTTTAACTTTTTGAGCAACCTCCATACTGTTTTTCAGAGTGGCTGCCCCAGTTTGCATTTCCACCAACAGTGCAAGAGGGTTCCTTTTTCTCCACATCCTCTCCAACACTTGTTATTTCTCGTGTTTTTTATTTTAGCCATTCTGACAAGTGTGAGGTGATATCTCATTATGCTTTTGATTTTCATTTCTCTGATGATGAGTGATGTTGAGCATCTTTTCATGTGTGTGTTGGCCATTTGGATGTCTTCTTTGGAGAAATGTCTGTTCATGTCTTCTGCCCATTTTTAAATTTGGATTATTTGGTTTTGGGTGTTGAGTTGTATCAGTTCTTTATAAACGTTGGATACTAACTCTTTATCAGATACATCATTTGCAAGTACTGTCTCCCATTCAGTAGGTTGCCTTTTAGTTTTGTTGATTGTTTCCTTTGCTATGCAGAAGTTTTTTATTTTGATGTAGTCCCAATTGTTTATTTTTGCTTTTATTTCCCTTGCCTCAGGAGACATAACTAGAAAAATGTTGCTATTGCTGATGTCAGAAACTCTCCTTTAGTTCTGATCAACTCCAATATATTTAGTAACTGGCTTTCTTCTATTGATTCCATGATAAAGTCTATGTTCCAGGATAAATCCTGCATATTCCAATTTCCCAACATCCCTGATACTCTTTTTTTCTTGTTGTTCATGTTCCTAATAATTCTTACTTCATTTCTACCTTTGCATATACAGTTCTTCCTGTTTGGAATCCTCCTTCTTCCCTTCTGTCTTCCTACTCTATCTATTCTTTAAGACTCATCTTGGTTCCTGTCTGCTCCATGGAAATGTCTACTTTCCCAGAACATCTTCTGCACCTGCTTACTACTTGTGCTTTCTCTTAGCCTTTCATGTGTTAGCCAACTAGATTATAAACTCCTTGTATGTCTTGTTTTTCTCTGTATGCTTCACAGCCTTTACCTGGCTGCATAGGTGTTCACCAAGTTAATTCAAATTGAAAAGGTTAGTGTTGGAAATCAGATATTCTAACCTCATTTTTTTAGTTGTTGGGTAATTGGTTCTTACGTTTCATTATTATGCCACTGGTGCTGGTCCTCAGCTATCCAAATTGGTAAGAGAAGATATCGTCCTCCCACAGGTTTGCACATATGGGCACCCAGCTTGGGCTGGCATGGGAAGAGAGCAGAAGAAGCAATCTGCTTCAGCTGGTTACTAAGTTTGTAGCTTAAGAGATTTGAGGTATTAAATACACTGTTCAAGCTGTTCATCTCATTTTATTAAATGCATATTCACAAAAGAAACTTTCCTTTCTAAAGGACTAACATTAATATCACTTTTTGAAAATGCTTTTATTTGTGAGAAGTTTTTGAAAAGTTCTTTTTTTCTAGGAGATTTGATATTTTTATTTGAGGCCATTCAGTTCTGGCAATTTGAGGGACTTCTAGTGGGTGTTATTTTATTAGTTTCTGGAGGGTGTGATGAATTTTTCAACTTTTTTGAACAGTACCTAATATTTAGGGGGAATTATTTTGCTGTTGGCAGCACTAAAAACAGCCTTTTTCTCTTTTGACTATGATGGTGAGTTTGGGATTGATTTTGAGTGGTAGTGAAAGTAATGAACTCAGAGACTATTACCATTTGAGGCTGTCATATATATCTTTACTCTCTGCTTTACCCAGGAGAAGCATGTGAACCTGTTACATATTGAGTCCCGAAAATCAAAGAGAAGAAACTCAGAATTTGAGATTTTTGTTGACTGTGATATCAACAGAGAACAATTGAATGATATTTTTCATCTGTTGAAGTCCCATACTAACGTTCTCTCTGTGAATCCACCAGACAGTTTTACTGTGAAGGAAAATGGTAAGTTTGAAAAGTGAAAATCCCACTCAGAAGATTAAGTACATAATGTGTGTCCAATCTTATATTTATCTTGAAGGCATGAAAAAAATAAAACTCTGTCTCTTCAAATTGCTTAGTTTGGTAGTGAAGGGAGCAGAAAATGTAATTGCTCAAAATACTATAGAGCAATTATAAAGTAACGTTTTATCAAGTGTGAGAGAAGCAAGAGGGAAACCTTGGCTATAAGGAAGAATTCAGAATAGTTAGAAATTGATTAAGTTTTCTCAGTTTCCAAATCATTAAGCATTTCTTAATTTCACAAACCTTCAATTTACAATCCCTGAGCACTTAGAAATTCCCACAGGGCTTAGCATCTGGCAGATATTAAGTGAATATTCAAATTTGTTGAGAATATTGATAGGTGCTGACAACTATGATGTGAATACATTCTTTACACACTCCTCCTTGTCCCCACTCCCACCAAAAGTAAGTGAAAAGCAACAAAGCCTCCTAAGGTTTCTAATGGCTAAGATCTTCTGTTGTGGAAAAAATCCTTGTCATTTACTTGGCACAAAAGATAACAGGATAATTCAACCACATTTTGTATATAATACTAAATTTAAAGTAATCCCTTATGACATGCACAATTTGGGGTACACTCAGGGCTGACACTCATCTGTTATGTATTTTATGGCTGTGTAAGTTATTAAAATACTAATATGCTTCCATTTCTGAGTGGCAGATAGCTGCTTCCCCAAGTCCCTTGCATGTCCCCACCATGCCTAAAGCCTGTGCGCTCCAGGTGCTACCCTAGGAGTCCTAGGCCCACTACCGACAACCAAAGGGTTAACAGCTGGTGGAGCAGAAGCCTAGGACTCTGCTCATGTCTATTTTGAGTGATTGTTGCCCCTGTGGTATTTCTGGTTAAATCTCTTGACTATCACTTTTGGGTATGTTAAAAAGAGCATTAGGCTGGAGCAAGGAGGATTGAATTCTAGTCCTCTCTCTTCCAACAGAGATGAGTTTACCTTGGGTAAATTACCTCTCTGAGCTTGGTTATCTCATCTATAATATGAAGAGTTTCCTAGGGGCTAAATGGTTCAGTTGATATTTAGGGAATACCAACTTGTGTCAGTTATTTCTACTGAGAAGCAAGGATACAAATATATGTATAGTCCCTCCCCTAGAGTCCTTCCCATTCTTTCCCATGAGACAGATATAAGATATCTTATATATAAGATTATTAAACGATTCCGTTTCCGAGAATCAGAGCAACCCGGAAGACAGAGAATCAGCTCCACCTACAGGGTCAGGGAAGGTTGAGTCTTGAAGGAAGAGAAGGACATTTTCAGGAAAACAGAAGGATGGGGTGGAGCAGGAAGTGGGAGTAGGGTGTAGGTTATCCAGGCAGGAGAACAACAGGTGCAAACCCCCAGAGTTAGAGGAGGGCTTGTATGTCTGAGGGAGGGTGAGAGATCAAAGTGGCAAAGACATCAGTGATGTCTAAGAGCCTTTGCATCAACAAAAAGAAACATGCAAAGTTCTCATTAAATTTTGCACGTTGGTCTGCAAAGTTGTACATCCTAACTCTGCTTTTTTAAGGATAGCTAAATATGTAGCTTAAACGGTTTTGTTTTGTTTTATTTTGTTTTGGTGTATTTTAGGTCCATTACCAAAGTGTAGCATTTCACCAACCCTTAGGAAATCAAGGCTCAAAAAAATATTTGAACTCAAAAATTTCAAATAAAATTTACTTATTATAAATAGAGCAATTTGTTTAAATTTTGACTCAAAGTACAAGCTACAATAAAAAATTTCATCCAAATGTATTTATGACTTTCTTAATTTTTTCTTCCTTATTGCCTATTTAAGATTGTCTCTTCAACTGTTAGTGGTTTTGTATTTTGCAGGTATGGAAACTGTTCCTTGGTTTCCAAAGAAGATTTCTGACCTGGACCATTGTGCCAACAGAGTTCTGATGTATGGTTCTGAACTGGATGCAGATCATCCTGTAAATATTTTTAATAAATCTTTTCATGAAAATAATTTAAAGCAAACTAAAAATTAAGGGAAATTCTTTCCTTTTCTGGGAGAACATGCTTATGCTAGACTAAATAGGATCTGGTTTTAATCTGGATTTCGGGAAGTGCCAGTAGTTCTCCACACTGGCGGAATCCCGACTAACTTCCTGAAGGCATCTAACTTCACTGGCTCTGAAACACTGTCCCATATCTGGCATTCCTAGTACTAAGAGCTTTTCTAAGAATTCTGCTAAAATGAAGACAGTATCTGCAGCAATTTTTGTTAAAGTGGGTATGGATTATTAGAAAGCGGGGGGTAAAGATAGGAGGGGGAGAAAGACTTATCACCCATGCTGTCCTGCACGACTGGTTTATTAGGCAGTTGATGAACTAGGAAATTGTTTCTTTGGAAAATTATATGGGACAGGGTACAGGCATAAATTGGAGAATTAGTAAGCCCAGAGCATTAAGGTTGCTTATGGAGTCCTATGGTCCTGGGAGGGTGGAGAAAAAAAGAGTGCAATTTTGGAGCGGTATGCACCAGTGCTTTGATTTGCTGCTTAGTAGCTCTGTTCATTGACTGCATATTGCCTTAGATGGCCCTCAGCTGATCCACCTATTTTTTTCTATAATAGCTCATCGAGCAATTTATTAATTGCAAGTGTACTTGCTCTCAAGGCATTTGCAGTCTAGTTGGAAAGATAAAGCACACATCTATAAATAAACATGAGATTAAATTGTGAAAAGTGCTAAGTGGCAGGAACAAATTGCTTTGAGATGTACACAAGAAGACAAACACTTCTAGTTGAAGAGATCAGAGAAAGGCAACATTTTAACGAGGCCTTAAAGGAGTTTGGCAGGAAAGAGATGGGGAGGGAGGACAGTTCATTGCAACATGAGCAAAGGTTCAGAGGTAAGAAAATCTGGAGCATGTTTATGGAGAGGTGACTAAATAATTTCTTTCTGATCCACTGCCAAGTGCTATTGATTTTACCTCCTAAATATTGCTTAAATTTGTTCCTTGTTTATTCCTATTAGCACACCTTTAACTCATCTCCCAGCCTCCAGCTCACCACCTCAAACCCATCCTCCTCATAGTCACTAGAATGATCTAAAACCTCTGTATGATCATTTTCCTTTTTCTGCCTAAAGCTCACCAGTGATACCTAGGTACCCATCTAAGAAAATTGAAAACATATGTCCACACAAAAACTTGTACACAAATGTTCATAGCAGCTTTGTTCATAAAAACAAAAAAGTGGAAACAACCCAGATGTCCATCCACTGATGAATAGATAAATAAAGTGTGATACATCCATAAAATGGAATATTAGTGATCATAAAAAAACACAAAATACTGATGCATGCATGCTACAACATGGAGGAACCTTGAAAACTGTGATAGTAAAAGAAGCTGGTCACGAAAGGCCATGTGTTATATGATTCCTTTTATACAAAATATCTAGAATACCCAAATTCATAGAAACAGAAAGCAGATTAATGGTTGCCAGGGGCTGGAGATGAAGGGAAATGCAGAGAGTCTGTGAATGAGTATGGTGTTTCTTTGGGGGATAAACATTTTCTGAAATTATAATGGAGGTAGTTGCACAACACTGTGAATGTACTAAAAATCACTACACTGTACACTTTAAAATTTTATGGTGTGTGAATTATATCTCAATAAAGCTGTTATTTAAAAAAAAAAAACAACCACCAATGACTTCCCATTACCCAAAGACTGAAATCCAAGCTGTTTCAGACCTTTACTAGCAGACCTCAAACTAGTCCGCGCTATGTTCCACCTCCTTCTCCAAGCTCCAGCTCACATTTCCTTAGGCACAGCGTGCTGTTTTTCATTGCTGTCCTGTCATCGGTGCTGTCCCTTCTGTCCTTTCCCACCCAGCTGTCCCCACTCCTTTACCAAGACTTAGCTTGGGAGTCATCGCTGGGAAACCCTTCCTGACCCTCACTACCCTTTTTCACATACTCTGGATGAGGAGTTTCTCCTTTGAGTTCCAGTGGCATTTTGGGCATATCTCTAATAAGGCATTTAGCATATTGTTTCATAATAATTGGTTGGTGTAAACTCCTTGAAGACCCAGGTTTTGCTTTGTTCCTATTTGTTTCTCTGGATTTTAGCACAAGGCCAGGTGCCTAGGAGGGGCTTGTAAATCTGTGTTAAAGAGATGAGTCTCATTCTCCCCTTTCAAGTGTCTTCCCCTTCTTTCCTGTTTTGTATTATTGGCTGTTTTCTCCTGGGCTTTGCTTTTTGAAGTCTTATTTTACCTATTTTTAAAAAATATTTTTCTAGGTATAAATTCTAACGTTACTATTTTATTTCTTTATTAGCATTGTTTGCTTTTGCAAATATGAGTATGTTTTTACTTCGCGATAAAATCTAAGGCTAGATTTAGTTGTCATGACTTTATGTATTATTAATTACTGTTTTATTATTAATTATGATTATAGGAAAATATAGCTGAAGAAGTAGTCAAACGATTAAGAAAAAAAATCTCACATTTGGAAAAGAGTTGTGTACTTAACTAGGATGATGTTTTTCTTATTCCTGAAACCATTTTATTTTTGTAGCCACTATAAGATTTTTGTATCTTGGGGCACCTGGGTGGCTCAGTTGGTTGAGCGACTGCCTTCGGCTCAGGTCATGATCCTGGAGTCCTGGGATCGAGTCCCGCATCGGGCTCCCTGCTCAGCAGGGAGTCTGCTTCTCCCTCTGACCCTCCCCCCTCTCATGCTCTCTCTATCTCAGTCTCTCTCTCAAATAAATAAATAAAATCTTTAAAAAAAAAAAAAGATTTTTGTATCTTGGTATCTATAGTATCTTTTATCTTAGTGGCCACAATAGTATAAAGCTTTCATATAACATTGCCTTTTTTTATTAACTTATTTTATTGAAATTCAGTTTTTAGCATTAGTATATCATTAGTTTCAGAAGTTCAGAGTTCAGTAATTCATCAGCTGCATGTAACACCCAGTTCTCATTATATCACATGCTTTCCTTAATGCCCATCATCAAATTACCCCATCCCCCCACCCATAACATTGCCTTTAAAATAAAAATGATCATACATTTCTAAACAGTGCTTGCTCAAAATAACAATAATGTAGCCCTTTAATATCGTAACTTGAGTAATAATGAAATCTTCATTTGTCAGTATTTTTTAGTATGGATATTTTTAAACCTTTCTTTAATTATCAGGGCTTCAAAGACAATGTCTACCGTAAAAGACGGAAGTATTTTGCAGACTTGGCTATGAACTATAAACAGTAAGTGTATTATAAAAATAACTTATTCAATTTTGAAATAATAAATGAATAGAGTAAATTATGCTCATTTAGTAAACAAAAGATAAGTGCTATTGTTTATTGAATGCTAATTCAAAATAACTTCTCTTTGTCTCATTAGTGGAGACCCCATTCCCAAGGTTGAATTCACTGAAGAGGAGATTAAGACCTGGGGAACTGTGTTCCAAGAGCTCAACAAACTTTACCCAACCCATGCCTGCAGAGAGTATCTCAAAAACTTACCTTTGCTTTCTAAATATTGTGGGTACCGGGAAGATAATATCCCACAATTGGAAGATGTCTCAAACTTTTTAAAAGGTAATATGCTTAATTTTTTGTAAGGGGAATGTTGAAGTCTGTTGTGATCATGACAGAATTTTTAATAGAGGAATAAAGTTCAAGTATATGGGAGGTCAGAATTTTCCTTACTCTGTCCTGGAGTATTTGGCATCCCATTTGAAGAGGGACAATCATGATCTGGAGCAAGTGTAGAGGAAAGTGAGCAGAATTATAAGGGGCTTGGAAAAATGTATTATATAAATAAAATTTGAAGGACTCTTAGGGTGTTTAACCTGGAGATATAGGGGACATTCAAGCTTTATTTAAATACTAGCTGACCATCTTAGGTAATAGAGGGAATACTATGTGGCCCTAAAGTAAATGACAATTGGATAGAAACTGCAAGCTTTTAGCTCAAAATGGAGAAGACCTTGTTAAATGAGCCATTTGAAAATGGAACGGGCTCATGAGATGGTTATTTCTGCATGCCTGGAGGTTTTCATGCAAAAGCTCTCTACCCACTTGTCAGGGATGTGGTAGAGGAGATTCAGGCTCCTTGGAGGAGACTGGAGTAAATGGTCTCTGAAGCTCCTTTCCACCCTAAGACTATCATTTTCCCAAGGAAGAAGATGTGCTAGTAGAAGCATCAACAAAGATTAAGGACATTTTTTTTCTCTTTTAGTTCTTCATGCCTATTTGCTTCAGGCTTCCTTATTTTTTCTGGCTAGTATGGAAGTAAAATGATCAGTGATCTCCAGGGTTTACAATATATAAGAAAAATAAATATCCCCTTTGATCTCTGCGGACTAGAACATTAGGGAACAAATAGAAGTTATGTTTTTCACTCAGAGGGAGTTTAGTTTATTTCCATCATGGTCTGAAATTCCTATCTTTGAATTTCTTACACAGACCATCATAAAAACCTACATATTTATTCAACTCCATAATTCTTCTTATGCACAAAACTAAGAAAAACTAAGCAGGAAAAGGCACTATTGTTTTATAAGGGAAGAACTTGTATAAATGGTTCCTATAAAAACTAGGTTTAAAAAAAGTGATTAAGGATGACAGAGAACCAATGTATGTGACCTCACACATGGGTATTACAAAGATGGGCAAGCAAGCATATGCTACAGAAGTTACCAAATTAAATTTGCTTGAGATTTGGAGGAAATATTTTGTTATGGATACAAAACTGAAAGCTGTTTACTTGGGGTCTGGAGCATGAGCTGGATGCGGAACAGGTTGCTAAATGTGTTTCAAGGGAAACTGTCAAAGAGGGAAACCAAACCTAAATGATAGTTCAAACAAAACACTGGTTGGAAGGAACTCTCTACACTGTCGAATATGGTGGCCCCTAGACACATGTGGTTGTTTAAATAATTCACATTAATATAAATCAGAATGTTAGTTTCCTAGCCAAACTAACCGCATTTCAAGTGCTTAATAGCCACATGTGATTAGTGGCTACCCTACTGGGTAGGCTAGGTATAGAACATTTCCATTATTGTGGAGAGTTCTATTGGACCATGAAGTCTACCCATGAGAGTGGGGGAATCCAAGTACAAAAGCAACCAGATGGAACTGGAAGAGCAGAGGGCGAGGGTTTGAAATGAACAGCAAGCGTAGAGCTTATAGAGGTCCCCCTAGTCACTGCTGTCCTACTGGCAGGCCCCCTTCTACACAGGGCAAGCAGTTGTAGCTGTTGGGGAATCAAAGAGCACCACCCAATTTAGATCAAACATACTTTGCAAGAGAAAGTACTGGCTAAAAATGGCATAGCTTAAAAAGTGATTCTGATCTAAATTAATAGACCTAGTTGGGTTTTTTTTTTTTTTAAAGGAAGTAAGACTGTCTAGGAGATATTCTAAACCCTTTAAAGAGACAGCGAGGTATAATATAAGAAGACCTGGGCTCTCATTCTACCTTTATCATCTACGGTGTGACTTTGGGCACATTATTGAGTCTCTGAGCCTCAGTTTAATAGTCGTCACAATGAGGAGAATAAACTTTAATAATAAACTCAAATTGTAAACATGAAAGGAGATGTAATATGTAAGGTCTAACGCATTGCCTGGCCCCATGGTAAGTGCTTAATAATTATTACTTTCGCAGAGTACACACATGATACATTTAGTTTCCATATTCTCCCTCAAAGTGCTGCTGGGTACCACTGGCGGGATTAAAATGTTACAGTAAATGTTCTGTTGGGGTGAAGATTTTCTTCATTTTCTCCTTTGCTTTGCAGAGCGCACGGGTTTTTCCATCCGTCCCGTGGCTGGTTACTTATCACCAAGAGATTTCTTATCAGGTTTAGCCTTCCGGGTTTTTCACTGCACACAGTATGTGAGACACAGTTCAGACCCTCTCTATACCCCAGAGCCGTGAGTACTTCTGTTTAATATTCGTTCATCAAATAGTTATTTGTCAAGATGGTACTTCCTTCAGGAGTCTTATGTGAAGATTAAATGAATGAACATGTGTAAAGCATTTGGAACAGTGTCTGGCACATAATACACGCTCCATGCTCTATATATGTTAGCCATTATCATTACTATTATTAAATGACAACCTTTACCTGTTAGGTGCCAGGTGCTAGTCTAAGCAGAGGGAGTGTAAAAAGAATCAGACAAAAATTTCTGCCTTCATAAAATTTATATTCCAATGGGGGATAGAGATAATAAACAAACAAGTAAATATATATATATATAAATATATATAAATACATTAAAATATATAATATAATATATATACATTTATATATATAAATGTGTATATATATATATTTAATATCACCAATCAATGGTGATAAGTGCCATGGAGAAAAATAAAGCAGAGAAGGGAAAGTGGTGTATGTGTGGAGTGTTTCTATTTTGAAGGGTGTGATCAGACAAGGACTCACTGAGAAGGTGACATTTGAGCAGAGACCTGATTTGGTGGGGGTGTGGGGCAGACATGTCTATGGGTATCTTATGTGTATATGTTTGTGAGTGGCCTAAGTTTTGAACCAAAATAGTTTCTTTAGTAAATTGTTAGTGTCCTTCATGGTCCATTTGCAAAGTAATGCCGCCTGAATAAAAGTAAGATCAGATTTTGGCTTGATTGAATTGTTGACCATGCATTTATATGTGACATAAGCATCACAGAGTGACAAACCTGTACCTCTTTTTCAGAGATACTTGCCATGAACTCTTAGGTCACGTCCCCCTTTTGGCTGAACCTAGTTTTGCGCAATTCTCCCAGGAAATTGGCCTGGCTTCCCTTGGAGCTTCAGAGGAGGCTGTTCAAAAACTGGCAACGGTATAAATTGGAAAATAGCTGTATAGATCAGTAATTCTTATTGGGGTGGGATGGGAGTGTGAGTTTAAAAGCGCATATTCAAGATGACTGTTATAAAATTTGTCTTTCATGTATCATATGATCTCACTGATATGAGGAATTCTTAATCTCAGGAAACAAACTGAGTGTTGTTGGAGTGGGGGGTGGGGTGGGAGGGATGGGGTGACTGGGTGATAGACACTGGGGAGGGTATGTGCTCTGGTAAGCGCTGTGAATTGTGCAAGACTGTTGAATCTCAGATCTGTACCTCTGAAACAAATGCAATATATGTTAAGAAAAAAAAAGAAGAAGAAGAAGAAGGTAGCGGGAGGGGAAGAATGAAGCGGGGGAAATCGGAGGGGTGGACGAACCATGAGAGACGATGGACTCTGAAAAACAGGCTGGGGGTTCTAGAGGGGAGGGGGGTGGGAGGATGGTTTGGCCTGGTGGTGGGTATTGAGGAGGGCACGTTCTGCATGGAGCACTGGGTGTTATGCACAAACAATGAATCATGGAACACTTCATCTAGAACTAATGATGTAATGTATGGGGATTAACATAAGAATAAAAAAAAAAAGAAAATTTGTCTTTGCTCATATTTAATTTAATTTAAATACTTTCAATAGTATTAAAGGAGGATGTGAAATTTTAAGGTTCATCAAAAGGACATATGGGCTTTAAAAAAAGGTAGAGAAACACTAGAGTTCAATAATGTTAATTATTTGTAGATCTTTTTTCAGTAAAAATGATAGGTTCTCTGAAAATGATGCTAAAAATGTTCTTGAACATTAGGTACAAGACACCGTGCTGGAAATACAAAGATGAGTAAGGCCTGGTTCCTGCCGTCGAGGAATTTATATACAACTTAGGGAGTCAGTTGTGTTGAATGGATGAACTCTACAGAGAAGTTCAGGCAGAGTGTTCTGGGAGGTCAGAGAATGGCTTGGGGAAGGTTTCATGGAAGAGGAGTATCTGGACTAGCCTAGGGAAGATGAGTCATGTTTTCACCTGCCAAGAAGGGAAGAAAGAGCATCTTAGGATGAGGGCACACAAGGAAAGACAAGGAGGTGCTTGGTGTGTCTGGGGAAATGACAAGAAGCTGGAACAGAGTGTGTTAGGGTGGGGGAAGTAGTATGAAAAAGGGTAGATGATTAGAATAGTGCTTCTCAAATCATGGTTTGGGGACCCCCTGGTGTTCCTAAAAACCTTGCACAGGGTCCTTGAGTGAAAGATCCACTCAGAATGCAAAGTGGATTTCAATATAAGAACTAGAGTTCATTGATATGGTTTCATATTCCACATTGCAGCTGAACTTCAAGAAATTACCACTTGTTGAGTTTTGATGTAGTGTCAAAGAAGAATATCCACAGTTATGTGAAAAGGCTATTACAATACATAGCCTCTTCCAACTACTTATCTGTGTGAGGCTGAGTTTTCTTCATATACTTCAGCCAAAACAACATATGGCAACAGGTTAACTATAGAAGCAGATATGAGAATCCATCCTGTTTTTCTAGCCAGACATTAAATAACATCTAGACAGACATTTAAAAAGATTGGGAACAATGTAAAACAATGTTTCTTTCCTGACCCTTTTTTTGTGTTGTACAATATAGTTACTTTGCATTAAATTGGTATGTTACCATAAAATGGTTTATTACACTTTAAAATTAATTAGCAAACATGTAAATGTTTTCAGTCTTAACTCACAAAAACAAAAGGTCCTTTGGGTCCTGAGTAATTTTTAAGAGTATAGAAGAGTCCTGGGAACAGCAGTTTGAGAAGTGCTGGTTTAGAATAAAGCCAGATTGTAGAAATACTTGGGAACAAGTCTGGGGATCTTGAACTTTATTCCAGCGCACTTTGGGTCAGTGACTAAGAGTTGCAGTTTGTTCTAAATTGAGTTATTCAGGCTGTGAAAGTAACATCAATGTCCTTTTCCAGTGCTACTTTTTCACTGTGGAGTTTGGTCTCTGTAAACAAGATGGGCAATTGCGAGTCTTTGGTGCTGGATTACTTTCTTCTATCAGTGAACTTAAGGTAAAAGCCATAAGTCTCTCCACATAGCCATGTTTACTTAATATAATTGATATGACCTGAAAGAGTTTTTGGATTTGAACAAGTGCATACTATGGAAAATACTTGGGGTGGCAGTAAACATTACTTAAGAGACAATTTTCTCTATTTCCTAGGTTTATGGAGATACCCTAAATGTTTTTTACTTATATGTGGAATTTAATTACTTAATTTCTTTCTCTTTTTTTTGAACATAGTTGACACACTATAGACATATCTTTCATTTATTTAAAGGTTTATTTATTCATTTTAGAGAAAGAGAGAGTGCACAAGCAGGGGGGGGGCAGAGGGAGAGGGAGAGAGAGAAAATCCCCAAGCAGACTCCCCGCCGAGTGCGGAGCCTCATGCAAGGCTTGATCCCAGGACCCCGAGATCATGACCTGAGCCAAAACCAAGAGCTGGCCGCTAAACCAACTGAGCCACCCAGGTGCCCCAATAGACATATCTTTTATATAAAAAGTATTTTAAAGCTTTTGCTTACAAAGTTTTGCTGTTCCCTCACCATTTTTAGTGTGTTAGCAATAACTTCTCCTAAATTCTATGGAATTTTTTGAGAATTTTATTTATTTAATAAAGGAATGAACTTAATGTTTGCTGAGTGATGGGTGTGTGTCAAATACTGTCCACGGTACTTCTTGCTCTCAGGAGTCTACCACCTGATGGTGGGTATAAGTCATGTATAGAAATTACTAGTGCAGGCTAGGAAGTAGGTGTCATAATGCAGGAATATACATGAATATTGTCAGGTGCCTCTTACACCTGAGTGTTAGAACAAAGTCATGGAGATGGTCTTGGGGCATTTATGGGGAGCAGCAAGCCATTTGCTTTGCTGGAGTATACTGTGGCTTAGATAATGCTGTAGGAAATAAGTTTGGAATTGTAGGTTGGGGCCATTGCAGTAGTACCTTCAGAGGTGTGCTGATTCTGGTGGTTGTGTTTGGGATGTGATCCATGAAATTAAACAGTATTCTTTGATTCACTGACTCTTTGTCTTCTAGCATTCACTTTCTGGACATGCCAAAGTAAAGCCCTTTGATCCCAAGATTACCTGCAAACAGGAGTGTCTCATCACAACTTTTCAGGATGTCTACTTTGTATCTGAAAGCTTTGAAGATGCAAAGGAGAAGATGAGGTAAGGTATATCTTCCGCATGTCTTAACTTCCCTCTACAAAAGATAGGTCCAGTAATGGTAACAAATCACAGAAGTAAGCAGCTGGATAATTAGAAGCCTAGGAGGTACCTTCTGCCTATGACGTATCTCCCTTTCACAACAAATATTTAGAGTATGTTGTTTATGGTGATGTTTGGTGATTGCATATATGAATCAGATACATTGAGAAACTGGTTTCTTCCCATCAGAGTTTCTAATCTATTAGGAAAATAAGCTGTATACAAATTACCATATAACAGCATAGAAAGCCTTAGAGAGATACAGATGAAACTTTGTTCTCCATTTTATTCAGGAGCAATTTATTCCAGATGGGGAACAGGGAAAGTTTAATGGCATCTGAGAAAGCACTTGAAGGATAACTAGGATTTAGATATGTTAAGTTTTAGGCTAAGGGACAGTGTAAAAAAGCTAAGGGAGGTGGAAAAATATAAGAGTGTGATGCAATGAAGCTATGATTTAACTATTTTTTTAACGATTTTATTGATTGAGCACAAGTAGGGGGAGGGGCAAAAAGAGCGGGAGAGAGAGAATCTCAAGCAAACTCTGTGCTGAGCATGGAAACTGATGTGGGGCTCAGTCTCACCACCTTGAGATCATGACCTGAGCTGAAATCAAGAGTCAGATGCTCAACCTACTGAGCCACCCAGGTGACCTACTGTGCTTTAACTATTAATCAGCTAAGTGTGTTGTTAAGAAAGGAGGACATTGGAGGCAGAGAAACTACTCAGGAGATTTTTGTAATACTTAAGGTGAAAATAAGAGCCTGGGCCAAGACAGAGGTAGTAGGAAAGGAAAGGACTATAGAAGCAGAATCAACAAAACATTTGGTGGAAAGGGTCTGAGGTCACAGTGAGATCATTGTGGGATATATGGGGGTTGAAGACATCCTCCTTGTCTTCCAGAGATTTTCTGTTACTTGCGGAATTAGGCCAGGCACAGAACCCAATAACAATACTAGCAGGGCTTCCTCTAGCACATATGGCCCCTTTGCGCAGACTTGAAGAAGGGGTCCCTTCTGGGTAGACCAGGTGGATTGCAAGCTGCATTTCAGCCCTTACTCATGTACGGTTGTCCTCCGCTGTGTTCCTGGGGTCCTGAACACAGTTGTTCTTGGGGGTGCCAAATGAGAAGTTCAAATGTTGACTTGATGAAGAGGGTAGGACTTGAATGCATGAAGAAAGGGTGGAAGTTAGGTCATTTGAGAGAAGGTTAGAGGAAGACATTCTAAACAGAAAGAATGTCCATGTGCAGGAGGCAGGACTGTTCCTGGCCTCTGTATGTGTGTGTGTGTGTGCGCACACGCAAATGTGTAGGTGTGCAGGTATAGTTAGGTAAATGAGGGGTCTGTTACTAGGTGGCCAAGTCTGCCATTGTCTCCTGATAAAGCTACTGTAGTTGGTCTCCTTACTGTAGCCAAGAAATATATAAAGTAATAAATCACCAATAAAGTCATCCACAGGATCTTTCCCTAGCAATGCAGGGGTGGATGTGTCTATGACAGTTTTAGGTTTCCAACCTGTGTAGGATTCTAGGGGATCTCTGCATGTGCTGTGTAGGAAAGTCGTCAGATTGGTTGTGTGAACAACTAATAAAGATTTGTCTTTCACCTAGTGTGTGAAATAGGTTTGCTGTTGCTCATTCAGTTTTCATCCTCTGCTTCCTAGAAATTGGTTGCCTCTTATTTGTTTTCTTAAACAGAGAATTTACCAAAACAATTAAGCGTCCATTTGGAGTGAAGTATAATCCATACACACGGAGTATTCAGATCTTGAAAGACACCAAGAGCATAACCAGCGCCATGAATGAGCTGCAGCATGATCTCGATGTCGTCAGTGATGCCCTTGCGAAGGTCAGCAGACAGCCAAGCATCTGATCCTGAGAGTGTCTGAGTGTCAATTCAGAGACGTGTGGGTCAGCTCCTGCTTTTCTTGAAGACCTGGTTGTGGAGGGACAGCCTCCAAACAATATTCTCTACTCCTATTCTTTAATTAGTCTTTTGGAAATTTGCACCTGAATACTGTATACCACTACCTATTATTTTTTTTGTAACAGCTTTAGTGAAATATGATTCATATACCATACAATTCACTGACCACTCATTTTTTTATAGAGAATTTTTTTGACCCTAGAGATAGATCTAATACCGGCTTGATTCTCTTTTCCCTAATCCTTCTTGAATAAAATGACTTTTATGATCACTTAAAATGCCTGGATGGGTATTATGGAGCTGACCCATACTATTACCTAAGATCCTCTTATATCTAAAGTATCTTACTTATCATTGAATTTGTGCCAAGCTTGATCACATTCACAGCCCTAAATTGAATAGGAGACCAGCTGTCTCCACTGCTAGCGTGGGCAGAAGTATAGAGGCCTTTGCATGTGAAGCGTACCTTGTAAAGAGGAAGTCGTCTAGTTTCAAGTGTGGTATCTTGTAGGGAAATATGAGTAGCCAAATCTGGAAAGGTTGATTGGGGTATAATCCTCAAGAGCAGACTAAGAATTTGGGACTTTCTTTGGTATGGAACTAGGGAGCCCCTTCCCAAGCGACCATCCTCCTTGAGTGAGAAACTTTCCTTTCGAAGGCACTGCATGATGCTGGTTTTGTTTTAGGTTATCTGTTCTACTCATGGGGCCAAGGGGAACATGGAGGGGGGGACCACTTGCAAGGCCCTATACTCACACATGCAGAGTATTATGATGGGCTTTGTCCTCAGGTTAGCAGGAGATGGTATTGTCAAATGGAGAGTTCAAACTAAGACCGATGAGAGAAGCACAAAGTTAAAGTTGGGAAAGCAACACTGAGCACTTCATTTCCAAGATACAAGTGAAGTCATAAATACAGAGGCAAGGCATAGGGGTAGAGGGTGGGGAAACAGGTGAGGAAATGGGATGTAAGAAAGGTCAAGAAGACCATTTTAGGTCTGACAGCAATAATGCAAGGGTTGCAAGGACTGTTTTTTATGTGCTGTTGGCTATATCATACAGGGAATGGACCTGATAGAAGAGGGTGAAGCTGGATTCCTGAATACATGCTGTCTGTTTGATTTACTCCTTTCCTCCTCCCCACGCCCTCTTCAGGTTTCTGTTTCTGGTCCTCTTCTCTCTCTGCCATCTCTTCATGGGAAATGTCATCCACATCCATGACCTCAATTCCTTTTTTTTTCCTTTAAGATTTATTATTTATTTTAGAAGGTGGAGAGGGGCAGAGGGAGAGAGAGTCCTAAGCAGACTCCACGTTGAGTATGGAGCCTGTCGCGGGATTTGATCTCACAACCCTGAGATCAGGATCTGAGCCAAAACCAAGAGTCGGATGCTCAACTGACTGCACCACCCATGTGCCCCCATGACTTCAATTCTTATTTTCTATGACTCCCATATTTGCAGTTCTAACCTTGACATCTTTCTTGAATTTTTGCATTTTAAGTCCAGCTGCCTGCTGGATATTTTCCATCTAAATGTCCCTAAATCAGGCTAATATTGTACAACTTCTTATGGTACCATTCACATAGAATGAAATGGGTTTGTACAACATGGTAGTCCTATCAAGTATCTCAAACTCAAAAGGTTAAAAAACCCCACAAACAAAACCCTCAGAATCATCTGAATATTACACCTTATCAGCTTCCTCTCCTAATGATGTCATTTCTGTTAATGATATATTAAGGGTCATATTTTCCACCAATTTTTCATTCTTAATTAGCTACTTAAAAAACTGTGTTTTTACTTTTTTTCCCCACATTAATAGTCAAATTGTATACCCTTTAGCACATTTTATTTCACCAGACCACTAGATCTTTTAATCCTTTGTAGACCTCAAAAGAAATTATAAAAAAACTTTTTGTCCTACAATGAAATAGAATTGGGAAGAGAAATTCATGCTATTTCAGATTTATACATTACTTATAATTTTAGTTAAGTATAACTATTAATAGACCTTTGATAGTAATTGATCTAAGTTAGCTAATCTAAAATCATTTGAAATACTGATTAGCTAGTTTATAGCTGGTATATTTGGTTGCAAGGAAATCTATTGTAAGAAAACCATGATAGATAACAGTTAACAGCAAATTATACATACTGTATCTGGTTATATTAATACAACTTTGATCATGGTAAAGAATCATAGTTATTGAATTTTAAAACTATGGTATTTAAAACCACTCTATGACTAAAGCACACTAAAATGAATGTTAAAGCACAATCATTATTATTCATTACTTCAGAATAATGGAAATATTTCATGATTGATTTCAGTTCTTCTAACCTCTGGATTTGTGATATTTGGTAAATCAGGAGTCCTGAGAGTTTTCATGCATTTTAAATTTATATCTTCAAAACATCTAAGAATATGTTAATATTTACTCCAATATGAGAACAGAATTGAACCAAAAGTTTGGTTTATAATTCTTAATCAGTTACTTTTTACTTAAAGACTTAGGTGATATTTTCCTGACTTTTTGAAGAAAGCTCCAAAAGCTGGTTGTCAGAATGCCTGTTTCTTAATCTGCCTATTTTGTAATTCAGAGTTATATAATAGTAATGACACACCAGAATGTATATAATTATACTTAATTTTTAAGTTGGCTTTCAAATTGAAAAAGGAAAAAATCCTGCAGTTCTTTAAAGGCACACATAATAGAGTTCATATATTAATTTCTAGGAAATGAATAAAGATGCTATGGTCCATTTCAGTCTAGTCTTTACTATGTAATATACATTTATGGTTTGTAAGTTTGTTATTCAACTGGATAATAATAAATGGACACAAAATTCATGTTTTTTGTTTCTTTGAAGATTTTATTTATTTATTTGAGAGAAAGCACAAGCAGAGGAAGGGGCAGAGGGGGAGGGAGAAGCAGACTCCCCACTGAGTGGGAAACCTGACATGGGGTTTGATCCCAGGACTCTGGGATCATGACCTGAGCTGAAGGCAGACGCTTAACTGACTGAGCCACCCAGGCGCCCCAAAATTATGTTCTTTTTTTTTTTTTAGGATTATTTATTTGACAGAGAGAGAGAGAGAGCACAGCCGGGGGAGGGGGGCGGGGGCGGTGCAACAGGCAGAGGGAGAGGGAGAAGCAGGCTCAACAGAACAGGGAGCCTGATGCGGGGCTCTATCCCAGGACCCTGGGATCATGACCTGAGCCGAAGGCAGACGCTTAACCAACTGAGCCACCCACGTGCCCCCAAAATTCATGTTCTTAACAAGCAATTTTTTTTTTTTTGTCAAACATAAGTTAAAAAACTGATTTATGGGGCGCCTGGGTGACCTAGTCGGTTAAGATCTGACTCTTGATTTTGGCTCAGGTCATGATCTCAGGGTCGTGAGGTCAAGCCCCGGGTGGGGCATGGAGTCCACTTATGATTCTCTCTGCTCCCCCCCACCTTGAATCCCGGCTCTCCCTCTCACTCTCTCTCTCTCAAACAAAACAAAACAAAACAACAAAAACCAAAACCCAAACCTGATTTAAATATATATTAGCAATGTCGTAAGTTTAAGAAATCTATAACATCCTGACATTTCTTGAAAAGCCTGTGAATATGAGATATAAGGGAATCCAAACACTACTTCTGGAGTTTTTGATAAAGTCTCAATCATATGTTCCTACTCTGTATAAGGAGTTAAATCTACTTCACTGGGTTATTGGAGGAATTATGTTGCGAAAGGACATTGTAAAAAGAAACATCCATATGTAAAGAATCATTAATCACTGTCCTGATCTGGGATCCCCCATAACTTCTGGATGACTTTATCTTCCTCCAGAGGGAATTCTAGCAGGCAGTATATAATGGCATGGGAAGATCTTAGTACAGTTAGGGATTAAGCCAATTTGAAGCTGACCATCTGTCTTTTTGAGGGCTGGTCTATTTCCAGTTCACCTCTACTCTCAGAGTGCAGCACTTTAGGGATCCCAAAGGCAAGCTATGGGTGTGTGTGCTGGGGCTTCTCCTTGGGGACCCTGGACTCCTGCCTTTGTCCCCTCCTTCTGTCATTCTTCCCACCCCTATATGATTGCTGAAAGTACTGTTCAGCTTGTCAGCTACAGCTTTCAGCCCAGTTTCTTAGCCTCCAAGTCACTGCTTGCTAATTAGCAAACACTTCCAGTGGAAAAGTAGTGCCAAATATAATCTCTCAGCTTCCAGATCTTGGCCTTTCAAGTTCTGGCTGCTTTGATAGTTCTCCAATGACTTGAAACAGATTTTTAAAATATTATCCCCCAGCTTTTCTAGTTGTTTTTGTGAGAGGCTTGGTCTATAGCTAGCTAATCTGTCTTTATCAAAGGCAGAAATCTGACCTTGGAGTAAATCATTTAACTTCTTTGGGCCTCAGTTTTTTTCATCTATAAAATAAGATGATCTAAAGGAAAACATTTCCTAACTTGTATGGTACATCGATGTAGTGTTTATGGCCCCAAAGTACTTTATACTCTCCTCTTACGTGGAAACAAGGCATCTGAAAGTGATACCATCAAATAGTTTAGCCCCATTCAAGAACTGCAACTCAGCCAGGCTGTTAATGGGAAGAATTCCTCAGTGGCATGTACGTAGTTGAAATAGTGGCAACATTGCAACACTCCATAGAAATTGTATTAAAAGATATAACATAATGATATAACTGTTAAGTTAGCCGAAGTATAGATGTATGTACATTCAAGGGGTGAAATTGAAAGACAAGTGTATTCTTCTAGATCCTCTCTCTATTAAAACTGACTCTGTGGGTAGTCCTTGCCCCTTTGGCTGAAATCTCAGGTCCTGGCCTTGAATTTTCTGCTCATTCCTAACCCTTAGCTTCTAATTTCTCTCTCTCTTTTCTTGTTCCTCTGTGCCCACTCACTAGGATGCCTCTGGCTCCTCCATGGTTTGGGGATGGTGGTGGGGAGGAGAGGCAATGAGTAGAAAGTTCTGTTTGGTCTGATACTGTTGTGAGTTGGCATTAATGCTGACTCATTCTTTGGGGGTGTTTTGGAGGAACTTCCCACCCTCTTATTTTTTGGGGGATCTCTTGATGTGACTGGGCTGTTGAATTCATCTCCCTCACTCTCTAGGAATCTAGTGGTCAACTCCATTGGGGTGTCACTTCACCCTTCCAGGAATTTCCCTGGACAGTGTCTAAGACCATTCCCTAGCCAAATTGCTGCATGAGAAATACATGGGAGATACTCTGGGCATGAATGACTTCTCCAAATCGATCTCTCTTCGCTCAGCTATCTGGCCACAAGCCATTGGATTTCTCAGGATGAATCAACACCCTGCCCAGGCACCAGTCTGGAGGGATACATACATACCCAGCTCTCTAAGTGGTTCTGCAGCAGCAGGCCTTTCCTGAGACATGAGATGGGAGGCGCTTACAGCACATTGACATCGGTCCCCCTATATCCTATCAGAATTCTCTCAGCCTCTCCAACTTCTTTCATAGACTGGAAGTCATACACGGATTTCTAGACCCCTCTTTCATAAGTTTGTATTTTTCTTAGCATGGTCATGGATGTTCTCAAGATACCCCAGGCTGGAGAGGGAAAAGTGAGGTGCTGCCCTCACGTGGTCTTACAGGCAGAAACACCAAGGAGTAGGTGGAGTGAAAACAGGAAAGGTCTGTCTGGTCAGAGCTCACTGGAGATACATTCCAGGGCTCCCAGGCATAAAGGGTAATGAGGACTGGAGGCTTCTGTCAGCAGAGGGGTCAAGAACTAGTGAATATGGATTGTCATCTTTTTTTTAAAGATTTTTTTTTTATTTATTTATCTCAGAGAGAATGGGAGACAGAGAGCATGAGAGGGGGAGGATCAGAGGGAGAAGCACACTCCCCGCTGAGCAGGGAGCCCGATGTGGGACTCGATCCCGGGACTCCAGGATCATGACCTGAGCCGAAGGCAGTTGCTTAACCAACTGAGCCACCCAGGCGCCCCTGGATTGTCATCTTTAATGGGACCCTATTTGTACCCACAAGATTATGGGGGGCTTGGGAAATGGAGGTTATGTACAAAAAAAGTACAACAAAGAAAATAAAATTCAACTGTAATCTGCCACCCTGAGTATATGTGTTTGTGTTGTGTGTGTAGAAAACTGCTGTAATAGTTACGTTTATGACATATCATGAACACTTCCCTTACTTAATGTCTTCCAAAACATTTTTTTAAATGGCAGCCTAGTATTCCACTGCATGGATATGCCACAATTTACACAATTTATTTTTGGACTTTCAGGTAATTAAGTTCTTCCCTATTATATACAATCCCATAATGAATAATTTGCAGTCTAAGTCTTTGTGCACAGCTCTGATTATTTTCTCGTGATAAATTAACAGATGTGGAATTTACTGGGTAAATATCTGTTTATTTTTCTTCATGTTCCTAATACGCATTGCCACATTTTCCTTTAGGAAAACTGTATTTATTTAGCTCCTACCAGCGGTGTATGAGGGTGTCTGATAAAAGCCATTTTATATGAAAACCTCTGTTGGGTGAAAATTATCCAGTATTGATGATCAGAATCTGGGCAGGACCATGCTCTGAGCGCTGAGGGTTAGAAGGCTGCCCCTGGCAGGAATCCGTGAGAACCAGCCTCCTCAGTTTCGTGTCCCGAGGAGTAAGTTCCTGCAGACCCGCTTACCAGAAGCTTTCTTAGATTTTGCAAACGCACACCAAAGCAGATCCAAAGACAGCTCGGCTAAGACACTGGGACAGGACCCTTTCCACCCCGCTCCCCGGTTCAATTTCTTCCTGGTCAGCGGGTGGTATAATCTCTGCCCTGTCAGCGCCTCCGGGCTGTCGTGGGACTCCAAGGAGATGAAAACACGAAGGAGCGTAGTGCATTCGTGTATTACTAAAAATAGAATGCGAGGGGAGGGAGGGAGAAGCACAACGGCACTGCACGGCTGGGGGCCAAAGGCAGAGACGCTCTGAGCGCGCCCGGGGGCGGCGGTCGGCAGCAGGCTCCAGAGGCGATTGCCGGGCTCTCGCGGGCCCTCCCTCGGCTCCGCCCCCGCCCCACTGCAGACCACTCCCCAGGGATGGCCCCTCCTCCTCCAAAGCCTCGCCCCCACTCTGGCCCCGCCCCCACTGCAGACTCTCTACCCCCTCCGCCCCGCTCCGGCCCTGCTCCCACAGCAGGCCCCCCTCCCACGTCGACCCCGCCTCCGCTACAGACCCCTCCCCCGTGCCTGCCCCTTCCCCACGGCAGACCCCTCCCTAACAAGGGCCCCACCTTCATTACAGACTCCTCCCCCGCGCCGGCCCCTCCCAATCACAGGCCCCACCCGCGTCGGGCCCACACCCCATTCACTAATCCCTCCCCTGGAGGGCCCCACCCCCGACCCCTCCCGGAAGCGCCGGCGGAGCGTCCCCATATGGAGCGGGAGCCGAGCGCCTCCGAGGCCGCCCCTGCGGCGGCCGCGCTCTTCGCCTGGGTACGTGACTCCGCCCCCGGGCCGGGGCCGCTGGGACTGAGGGGGCGCAGAGGCGCGGGGAGCTGGCGGCCTCGGCGTGGGCGTTCCTGGGCTGGGCGGCCGAGGTCCGGGCCAGGCTCTGGGTTGGAGGACCCTGGGCTGGGGCCTGAGGGGGAGAGGGTCGGGGGGGGCCCTCACGGGTGACTTAGGGGCCTGCTGGCTGGTGGGGTCCGGACCCGAGGGGGCTGCGGCGCAGCGGAAAGCATCTGGCTCCTGGGCAGAGCGTCTGATTGCGCGAGAGCCTTCAGGCCCGGATAGCGCCGGGAGGGACAGCGTGGAGTGATCGCCCCGTCCCGGAGCCCTGTGGGGCCACCTGTGCTCCTCACCCTCCGGTTGCCCGCAGGATGCCGGCCCCTTCCAGCCCCACCCCAGCCTGGCGGGAGCATCCTTTAATGCGAGGCCTGCGGTGGTGGGCCGTGCACAAGGCGGAGATCCTGCATGTTTGCTGATACTCTTCTGTGACCGGATCTTGCCTGTACTGGGGGCGTGAGAGTCTGCGCCGGTGTTGGTTTGACGGCGGCACTGAGAGACAGGGTCATCTTCATGTGTCCTGGCTAGGAGAGAGGAGGGTCTCTGCACAGCAGTGTGGTGCCAGCGGCCGACCAGACAGATGCATGGGAATAAGCGGACATAGTGTCTTGTAGTTCTTTACAGCCCATATCACAATTGTAATGAAATGTAGAATTTGTTAATGTCCGTCTCCTTGGCTAGAATGTGTCATAAGGGTGGGTATTGTGCCTGTCTTGTTCACGGTGCCTAGCAAATACTTGTTGACGAATGAATGAGACCCTTTTGTGGCCTGGCTATGTGCTGGTCTTTTGGGAAAAACACAAAAGTGAAAGGCCTAGCTCTTGAGTTGAGGGAGCAGGATACCACCTGTATTACCGTTAAAACGAACGTGTATTGACTAGTCGAACAAAGGTGATAACCAGTACCAAGCAGCACTTGTTGAATGTAAGGCGGCGGACTGGCGGAAGGGAGAGGGCGGTGTGGCCGGAGGTAGCCTGGCTGTCTGGGTACTATTTTTGAGGTGGCACTTGAGCTGGGGGTGGACTTGGGGATTGAATGTGTGCCTGGGGTGGCTTTTCCCAGGCGGGAGACTGGGGTCTGCGTCAGATATGGCCTCTTCTAACTGCTTAGAGGCCTGCTGGCCTTCCTGCTGCATAATATGTGTGGAGAGGTGTATTAGTTTGCCAGTGCTGGGATAGAAAAATACCACAGACTGGGAGGTCTTAAAAAATGGAATTTTATTTCGTCGCAGTTCTGGAGGCCAGAAGTCCAAGAGCAAGGTGGCCGCGGTTTACTTTCTTCTGAAGCCTCTTTCTTTGGCTTGCAGATGGCTACCTTCTTGTGGTGTTCTCATGTGGCTTTTTCTCAATCTGAGAGCATCCCTGTGTCTCTTCTTATATTGAATTTGAGCCCTACCTTTACGACCTCATTTAGCCTTAATTATCTCTTAAAAGGCCCTATCTCCAAATATAGCCACATTCTGAGATATTAGAGGCTAGGGCTTCAACAAATTAATTTTAGGGGAACACGATTCAGCCCATAACAAGGAAATTTACCTCCTTGGAGTTGTATGTGGGTATGATATGTCTGAAGTGTTTGTAAGGAAAGGAGGCAAATACAGCTGAAACATGTTGTAATAAATTTTCCTCTGTCTTGCTTTATCCTGGATTTGGGGCCTCTTGCTGTGTTACAGAAATTGAGTGCCATAATTTGAGCCTCAAGTGCCCATGTCTCTCTCGCTTTCTGTTCAGCAGACTGCAGTCCTGCTCGTGGGGCAGCCACAGCGATCTCAGGGCTGATGGAGACATCCTGTGCATGTGTATACCCCACAGTGTGCACATCTTTCCTTTCATCTTTCCTAGGTAGGGCCTCATCAGACCTTACATTCATTTGCTATATAAATATATGTATACCTTCTCTGGGCCAGCACAGTTTCAGATGCAGGGGAAATGGCAGTGAACATAGTTCCTGCCCTCATTGAGTTGGTTTTTAGTAGGGGAGGTAGACAATAAACAATAAGCAAATGTCATGTCAGGGAGTGCTATGAGAAAAATAAAGCAGAAAAAGGTGGATAAAGTGATGGGGGTATGTAGATATAGTTAACCTCTTGCCAGGAAAGCTCTGGTCTGAAGTTCACCATATATCCTTAAGAGACACAGTATAGTATAATGAAAGGAGCGGGGCATATCTGACTTACTGCCTTCCCAGCTATATGACTATGGAGCCACTTAACCTCTTTGAGCCTTAGTTTCTTCATCTGTAAAATGGGAGCGATAATGTCCATCTCCTCTGTTATTGTGAGAATTAAAGGTGAATGCCAACCATTGGAGAAGCACTCTGTTTGGCAGCTAATACTGTCCCTGAAGGCCTCTGGGACATGTGCCCCTGTCATGGCTTCTGCTTCCAGCTTGGAGTCCTTGCAGCCCTGTACAAATGTGAAATAGACCATAAGGGGCAGAAGTTTGTATGTACGTATGTATTTTGGGTAGTTATTTTAAATCACTTTTCCTCTTTCAGGTGTCTTAAAAAACAAACACGTTTGGAAGGTTTTGCTATTCATATCTAGGAAGAACCAGCCAGGAGTAGATACTTGGAGGAATTATAAAGATTTCTGAAATCTGCAGATTCTCCCTGCAGGTCTACAATTCTTTATCTCCAATTTTGAGTACAAAAAACTCCAAAAACCCCAAACTGACCTGAAATAATGCTATTTATAGTTTTTGCCTGCTTACTGTATTTGTACCTCTTACTGCAGAAATAATACTATTTTGCTTATGGAGTGCTGCTCCTGAACCTTGCAGCAGAGTATATGATTTATATACGGTATTACTTTTCTAAAGTCTATACAATTCTGAATCTGAAATACATCTAGCTGCAAGGGTTTTGGATTAGAGATTCTGGACCTTTATTTCATAATAACAAAGATAGACATATTGCCCACCAACGGGAAATCTGTTTCCTTACGGGAATCTTACCATGTGAATCTCAGAGTCACACAACACTGTACTTGGAAAGGCCCTTCGAGATCATTGCCAACCTCTTTCACTTTACAATGAAATAAAAATGAGGTGCCCTGCTTAAGGGCACAAAGTCTCAGCTAACTTTGATTACAGAAGCCATTGCCAGTTTTCTCAGCTAGGGCATGAGGAGAAGGGACCAGTCCGGTGCATTTCCCACCCACTTTGTTCCCATTTCCCCTCATTTCTTTCCTTAGCCTCCCCCCTAGAGAATTAGCTTTTCTCAGAAGGAACTCCCATGCTGCCCCCCAAAGATGACACATGTGGGCTGAGGCGTTGGAAGGAGAAGGCGAGGAGCATGTTTGGATAAGTAGTGGATACTAAGGGCTCTTCTCACGTGGAAATCGTGGTATTCTGGGGATGGGGCCACCATCTAAGTATGGGTTGCATATAACAGCCTCTTAAGAATGAGCTTATGAAATCTCGTCTGTGAAAGGCTCTGAGAGGCATGTCAGGTTGAGAAAGATAGGGACAGGTAAATGCACATTGACAGTTGTGGTTCCTGTACGCTTTCATCCTTGCCTTATATTATCCCTAGGGTGCGAATAGCTATGGGCAACTTGGCCTTGGTCATAAGGAAGATGTACTTTTGCCCCAGCAACTGAATGACTTCTGTAAACCTGAGTGTATCAGGAGGATCACAGGAGGAGGGGGCCACTCTGCTGTGGTCACAGGTAACATCTTTCTGGAGTAGACATTTCTTTTTTTTTTTTTTTT